AGAAATTTGACATATTTACACAATCAAAATATCAGAATAACCATAATTCAGCTAATAAAGTGCCCTGTTCTTCTTTTGTCACTTCCTATAAATTTTATCAGCAGTTTTTGTACACCCACCCACCTCCAAGAATCATGGAGGATGGCCTGATATTAGTTTATTTGTTGCATTTATTCACATTTAAAAGTGTTAAGACCCATAAAAATGTTTAAGATTTATATTTTTGAATTTAAATGTTGAATTTTTATGTAAATTTGGTGAAACAAAAAGCTGTAATCTTGAATTAATCATGCAAATTCATCAAACATCTTTGAAATTCCTGAGTAATTGAATGAAAAGAGAATAATTATGTATGTTCAATTGGAATTTCATGGCTAATTTGTGTCTGCAGAGAAAGCCAGTTACATAAATCACAACAATAAATTACATCTGAATTGTTTTCTCCATTTTCTTATCATCAAAGCAAGTTTAATGGAGTGTCAGAGCTGTCCAGAACCTCCCCAGATGCTGATATCATTTGGACTGCCCTGTGTTACAACACAGCTTTTAGATAAACTTCTGCATAGCAGGTTGTAGACAAGTACCTAGGCTTTATTTGGAACATAAATTGACCAGATGCAGATTTTATTATCAGCCTAATATTTAAGAATTTCTGTAAATTCTGTCATTCTTGGGAGGGTAAAATGCAATTTTGTTATGTAATAATTGCATAATGGTCTCAGACTTGTGAATTATTTTTTGTTTGTTGTGAAGAACAGTGCATATACTCTCCATGGATACAAAATTGGTTGCCAGGCTTAGTTTATTAAGGATGAAATTCTGCTTCAAAATATGCACAAAAAACTTCTGTCAGAGTGCTCAGTGTGTATTCTTGACAGCTCTGGAGTAAGGGAGATAAATGCATCATATCTCCAGCAATAATGGGAATTAGATCCCCAGACTTCAGGATGTTAGTGACAGTTATTTAAGAAATCTCAGGTGCAAAAATGAAAAAAATCTGACAACTTCAAAGGTCCTTCAAGGTATCACACCGGTAATTGACCAATCAAAATGTACTTAGTCAATTGTAGTTCCATACACAATAAAGAAATATTTTTTTTATTGTGAGAATTTTTTTAATTTCCCTTATTCTATTTTTACATTTTTGGTATCTGTGCTTAGGATATTTTATGTACTTTGTAAAATATTAAAGGTTTTTGACAGGAACTATTTCTTTCGGGGCATAGGAGGCCACTTCCTGGGGTGCACACAGGATGTTTATAAACACATTGAATACACGTGGTTTTGAGGGTATTCCTGTTTGCGGATGGAAAAAATCAGAAAATGCCGTGTAGGTACCCTATTTTTTGGTGTCAGCTGATGTGACTGGTAACGTTTAACACTTTCTGCTAAATATTTTTTCATGAATTCGAATACCTGATTTTTAATGATTTTTTATTCTATATAGAATTACATAGTGAAAACAATTACCGGTGTGATACCTTGAACTGTTCACCACAGAATTACTGGAGTATTGACACTCAAGATGAGTACACTCCACATGGGGGAGAAGAAGAAGATTCGATCCCTTAATTCTTTCATCACACCATTTTTAACACTTGGAAAATCAATAGTTGGCATGATGCATTTTTCAAAACAACAACTTTCAAATCTGTATATATTTATAAGTTATTATGTAAGACATCCATAACCATTGTCACTTTCATTTATAATTGAAAGATAAAAAAAAATGTCGGGGAAAGAATACCAAATTTAAAACAATAATTACAAAATAAGACATTTCTGGACATAGGTGATTAACCACGAAATTATGAAAATATGTCCAGAAATTTCTTTTTTTGTAATTATTGTTTTAAATTTGGTATTCTTTCCCCGACAATTTTTTTTTTATCTTTCAATTATAAATGAAAGTGACAATGGTTATATGGATGTCTTAAATATATTCTTTAAATAGACGACTAACATCAACTGCATTTCAAAAGCTGAAAAAAATAGTATTTTACATTATTTTTTCTCTTTCTTCAGTATACTTCATCATCGATCAATCAACTTAAATTTTGAAAAATGTTATTGAAACAAATGCGTTCAGAAAATTGAAAGTGGTTTAGTAATTTCATTTGCTTCATTTGAAAAACATGAGAAGCCGAGGTTTTCTTAAATCTTTAAGGAAAAAAATGTATTATAACATTTAATTGTCAATTTTTTAATTACTGTATTACATACATAATCACCCCCCCCTTTTTTTTCTTTTTAGAAATGTAATTAAATATAAATTGAACTGCTATACAGTAAGTTATAATAAAAAACGATCTCCAATAATTCTGGATGTATTAATTAATATTATTTTTTTTTAAGTAATGATCACTATATATTTTAAATATTTAATTTGAGTATGGACCTACCTTTAGTTGAAAAGGGGTGTACATGTCCTGAAATAAGATAAACAATATTTGTATACATTACTATACTATGACGACACAAAGGTTTGACGTCAAAGACGTTACTACGATGTCATGTGTTTAGCTGTGGTTTCGTAATTTATTTTATTTTATTTATTTTATTTTATTTTATTTTATTTTATTTTATTTTATTTTATTTTATTTTATTTTATTTTATTTTATTTTATTTTATTTTATTTTATTTTATTTTATTTTATTCATTTATTTATTTATTTATTTATTTTAACATTGTTTACTTGTTGAAAATATTGAACACTGCGATTGAATTTTAATACATTAAGGACATTGGCAAGTCAGGGCTTTCCGGAGAAAAAAGGTTTAATACATGGGTTTTTTCACTTGTAAAATAGTGATTGAGAGTGATCTCCCGTGTAGAATTCTCTAAGCGGTGAAAACCAATAAAGCGTATGTTATAGAGGTAAACAAAAGCACGTGTACTTCCTTCAACGGGTAGAATCATCTATACAGCAAGAAAGAAAAGTAGTAATGGTTTTGTTGTGCATTGTATTCAGGGAAAGAGTGCCAACAGGTCGTCATTTACCATAGTTATGCTCAGTATGCTGGGAAGGGCAAAGGTGTGACATATGCTGACAGGTAGACCATGCCGACTGAGAATAGTTCTTAGGTCGTGTGAAGGAATCAGCATTTAGCAATTACGAATAAAAGTTAAAAATAAATCCATGCCAATATTTTATGACAATGTGTTTCAATCAATTCAGTCAATTACATGATAAAAACAATCAACCAGTCTCTTGACCAATTTTAGCTGTTAAGGGACGCAACTCAAAAATGATGATCGGTGCCGGTATATCCATGTCTTGTTTCTATATATACATTTTCAACCAAAATATCTAGAAATCATAGGAAATGAAGTTACAATAACGTATATAATACAAAAACTGTATGAAATAAATGTGTTTTGAAGAAATATTATGGTGAAAAATTATGTAGGTCCCTTTTATCAACATTTTACATAGGAAATGCATTAAGAATTGTAAAAGCACTAATTTGACAAAATCTAAAAAGGAATGCTGGATTGGTAGGTAAAACGATCCAGAATATTGCCTATTTAGTACATTTAAACCTACTCAAAAGTTCTTGAAAAATTCTATACAATAACCAGGAACCTTGCCAATGTCCTTAATATACACTGTAATTTGTTCTTATTTTGTTCGAGTGAGACGAGTTAAAAGTATGGAGCGCCAAATTAATATAAAATCTAATAATTTATGCATCTTTAAAAAAATAAATAAATAAATAAACAAAAAAAAACAAAAAACCAAAAAACAAAAAAAAAAAAAAAAACAAAAAAAAAACAAAAAACAAAAAAACAAAACAAAAAAAAAAAAAAAAAAACAGGAAAAAGGATTATCAATTCCTTCGAGGCGCGCATCAATATATTGAAATAGTTGAATTTAAATAAAATTGTTCTATCATCAATTCAAATTATGAGCCCATTAATTCAATTGACTATCACAATAGACTGTTTCACGATAACTGTGGTACTGCTCTTTTGCAGGGCAAAATGATATAGTTTGGTGAAATATGACGTAAAATTAATTGTTAAATACACGTCATTTCATTATCTATCAACAAAAACTTCGCCAAACGTTATTATTTTGCCCTGCAAAAGAGTAGTACCGCAGTTACCGTGCAGGGGCTAATAGTTGATTTGATGCGTACATCATTCTTTACGCGCGATAATGGAATATCTTTAAATAATCAAATATATCTCCAGTTCAATTATTTGAGCTTTTGTCCATTAGAGCTAAGCTCGATAGATAGAACCGAATTACCATAACTATATAATAAAGATGTCTTTATTTATTTAAAAATATCAATTTATTCAATGCGTTTTGCGATTCGATCAAAGAATTCTTCAAGTATTTCTTTAAAATAATATCCTCAATGATGAATATTACCAGAGAGTATATACGCGTCCCTGATAGTTTTGCGCGCGATTATTAAATTGTTGATTTCATTAATCAACTGATTTTTTTTTATCTCCAAACGAATAAATAAAATTACTGGTACTTAGGACATGGACATCCCCCCTTTCAATGTTATTTGTTCATGATAAATTTGGGATCGATACACCTTTTTTCCTATTCCTTATTTTCTAATACTCATGGTGTCAATAATGTAACGTTTTCGGTTAGATATTTGTAGCTTTCTCAATTTTGATTGATATATTAAAGAGAAGGTTTGTAGGCCTAACCCTTTTTTTTTAAGTCGAGTTCTCACCTCCCTTTATAAACATGATATAAGCAATAATTAAAAAAAAAAAAATTAGTTCGTAGCTAACATTGATTTCAGAAAAAAATACTTTTTGAAATTTTCTGATCTACTCCATGTGTCTGATTTTAATTTATTGTAACCAATCCTTTAAAATTACATTATAGCATTAAGTCATTTGACGTGTATGTCAATCATTGGTCCATTACATTCTACGAACGAGCTATTTAAATTGATGACCCATGACCTGGAAGTTTATTTGTTGACCAATCAGAGTAGACCACGAGTTACAATTTTGATTTTCTGCAAAGAAGAGTCGAGAAAAGTTGACAGAGATCAGTGTAAACTGTATTGATATTTTTACGCGATGTCCGTGTGAATTTTCATCATGATTGAGGAAAAAATAACAGATATGAACATGGGAGGAGTTGTAATTTTTACCAAATCCTTATTTATATTTCTATTACTTGATGTTTATCTGAAAGGTATGTCTTGAATTTCCTCTGTTTTAGATTAGTTCGAGTTTTCTCGTATACTGTGATAGCAACTCTCAATTATTTTTAGTTATTGTTCGATTATTTTTTACAGGATCATATGCAATCAATAGCAAGGAGGTGGAACAGCACCTAGAAATGGGGAAGAAACTGCTGGCTGCTGGACAGTTGGCAGAGGCCCTCCAACATTACCACTCAGCTGTTGGTTAGTGTCCCCCTCCCCCACCCCAATCTCATTCTCTATCTCTCTCACACTCTCTCATGCCAGAAAAACAGTAAGGTAGACGAAATATAATTTTCTTATTTAAAATTAACCAATAGAATGTAATAATAATATTTTTTTTCTTTTTATTTAGACTGGATAGCACAGTTAGTAAATTGAGTTTACATTGTGGTCCTGTATAAAACTAGATAGAACGTTCTATCGTTAAAATGATATTGTCCTACGGACCCGGTTTAACGATAGAATTCGTTCCATGTATTGGCAATGTTGCAAAATAAACACGGGCGATAACTCGAACTCTGTGCATTTTCTATGAACAATCAAGAGAGTTCCAAATGTCAACATGGCATTAAATTTGAAGCGAGGAACTAACGTAGACAAAATGAGTTGAATTTTCGTATTTATATGGATTATTTTTTAGGTTAAAAGGCATATACAATCTCAAAAAGGTTTGTTATGATTAATTTGGTAGTTATTTTCAGTGCAACTCCTTTTGAATTCTTCAAAATCATTTCGGAGTGGATCCACTCCGATTTGCTACATTGCAAGTATATGGGACGTATTCTAACTGTGGTGAGGGCTTGTCCCGAGACACATTTAGATTATTCTAACTAGTATAAAACATATTCACAGGCAGATAAATATGAGAGTAGAAGATAGATAGTATAAAATATATACATAACATAATGTACATGACATCAGTGAAATGATTATAATATTTGTTCTCTGCACTAAAAATAGGTGATTCAAAACATAGATTTCACTTATTTAAATTAAAATGCTGCAACTATGCAGATTTAATAGAAGTAAGAGAATTATAGGCTCTGACAGACTCGGTATTTTCACTTGTAACTCTTTATTTAAAAAATCTCTTAATTTCAGATGGGGATCCAAACAACTACATGACATACTTTAGAAGAGCAACAGTTTTTCTAGCCATGGGAAAATCTAAATCTGCTTTACCTGACCTGACAAAAGTCATTGAACTCAAGCCAGATTTTACTGCTGTAAGTCTGAAGTAACATTTCAAATAATATTAATGAAAGTTCATTGTAAACTTTAAAAGAGGTAGAGACACATATCAGGATCTGTTCATTGAATTTGATTATATCCGTTATTAAATTTATGATGGACTTTTTATTCATACAATTTTATCTTAAGGTTGAATTTGAAGGTAACTGGTTATGTGAACAAATTATCTGTAATGATAGCTTCTGGAGCAATTTATGAAGTTGACTAGTTTTAAGTCATTTCTGAAATTAGGCAAGGATGCAGCGAGCCAGTGTATTATTAAAGCAAGGGAAACTTGATGATGCTGAGGAAGATTTCAAAGCAGTGGTGAGTTAGATATATTTCTCTACCATCTTTCTTTTTTTTTTTTGGTGAATAACATCTTTCATTTGTTCCATTTTTTCATCTTGAAGAATTTCTTTCTGTGTGTTTATGCATCATTGATGACTTTTTTAATCAGATGCTGTTTTATTTAGTTGGAGAGAGGTCCTAATGATGAAGCTTCTTCTCAGCTTAATTCTATTACTGAACTCCGAGGAGACATTAAGGAAGCTTACATGTTGGTGGAACATGGTCAGTTACCTGCAGCTGTTGAACTTTTAGGGAGGGCCATTGAGGTATATTCTTATCACATGGATTTGATGATGACTCAGGGGTCGAAATTAACGGGAAATACTCGCTAAAAGTGAATTAAAAACAGAAATTGCGAGTTAAAAGAGACCTGTGGTCGCCAACTTTTGCGAGTAAAAAAAAAAACGGTCTTCTTCAGATTTTTTTTTCCGGTTTATTCCATGGATGTGCTATTAGCATTGCCTCACAATCGGGGCTACCATTTTGGGGGGTCGGACCAGTGATTTTAAGCACAGAGGTAGCCCCTCGGGCTAGTAAAAATTAAATTACCCATGTAATACATGAAAAGCACTACAGGTATTTCTATTCACTTTTTTTGCTGTTAAATCCCCAAACAATGAAAAATTTCCAGGTAGCATGCTCCTATAGTTCGTTAATCTCCATAATTTTATCCATTTTGCAGTACTACCTGACTTATTTACTTCCAAAAACAATCGTTTTTTCCTAATCCGAATTTCCTCCGTTTCTTTGTTTATGGTAAATACATGCATGTAAATTTCTCATTTAATTATTTACGATCACTTAATCAACTAGAGGAAAAGTGTTATTGATTTTCAAAAAAAATGTATTTCCAGTGTATTTGATGATTTCAGATGAAAAAAAAAGACAGATTTTTTGCTTCAATTTAAATGAACTAGTGCAATGACCAAAAAAAGGAAGATAATTTATTTTTAAAATCATTTTTTTTTTTTAATTTTTCAATCATAATTATTGATTTGTATATGATTCAATTTTTCTAGTGATTATTAAACTTAATTTTAAAAAGAATGATCTTTAATAAGACCCTGACTTTTTCCATGATAAAATATATTTTTCTTTCATTGTTATAGTTGTTACTTTTTTCCCCTACGTTTGAGCTACATGTAATAACTTTTTACTTGGATCGAGCTAGTATTTTATTGCTGCCGCGATTTTTTAATTGCACACCCCTGTATTTGTTCAGATTTCATCTTGTTAAAAACAACCTAAATTAACACACAAATTGTAAATTAGTTTTCTATGAAATTATTCAGATAATTCCTATGTTTATTATTATGTGAAGAAAAAAATGCTAGTGGAAATTTAATATTGCTAGTAAAAAAAATTTCCACTAGCTAAAATTTGCTAGTGGTCAAAAAAGTTAATTTCAATCCCTGGATGACTCCACCATTTTGTGTTTAGGCTTTTGACAAATTTGACTTTGTCTGTTTTGCCAAAATTTCTGTTGGCAGATTTTTCAAGGAATCTAAACTATATGAAAAAAAGGTTGAAGATGAAAAACTTCAAATCTGATTTATTTAAATTCTTACTTATTGTTTGGACAAAAATTGCATATGACAAGTGTAGAAGTGAAATAGTTATGAATTAAACAAACATTTCCAAGTTTATTATTGTACAGTAAAACTCGGTTAAAGCGAAGTCCTGGGGACCTGCAAATTTACTTCACTATATCCTTATTTTGTTATATTCGTAAAATGAACTCGTTAAAGAATACATGTCCTCGTGTATAGTGAATTCACAATTAAGATGCTTTCCCCTAAGTAGAACATACAATTGTATTTTGGGAAGTATTTTATGAAAACCTTACTTTGGAGACCTAAATTTTTCAGATGAATTGAATTTCAAATATAAATACTTATAAAAAATAATTTCAGTTCAATATTTTAGACATAAAGATTTTTGAAAATTTGTTATAAAAGATGTAAATTTCATTATGTTTATCCACAATGGGACATAATCAGTTTGCTATTTCTATAAATTCAATATATCAGAGTTTATTATAATTAGAATTTTACAAGAAACTGTTAAGAATTTTGCTGGGGATTCTAAGAAACTTCACTTTATATCCATAAATTGGCTAAAATTCATGTTCATACTAATTTAAAGAAGTTTTACAGAATCATGAAGAAACATCAGAGGGTACCAATTTCATTTTATCATAACTGCATTTGAATTTTCACTTCCTCCAATAAGACCATGTATTAAACTGTATTTCAGTTTTAGTAAATTTATGTACATGTAATTTGGAATTTCTTCAAGATGAGAGTGAAATGAAGATATACTAGAATTGCATATTGCAAGTGGTTTAAACACCATTAAATTTCAATGGATCTAGAATTACACTACGAAGTACTGTTATTTACAGTTATTAAAATTATAGAGAGTTTTAAAAAAAAAATTAATGAACGATGATACAAATATTTATTCATGTTCCCATAAAATATATGTAGGAAACAATAATTTAGCTACTTCTTTGCTTACTTGATATAAATTTAAGTAGTATTTGTAATTTTCCAATAGAAATGTCCCTGGGATCCAAGCTTACATGAGACAAGAGCCGAGTGCTACATTCAGATGGGGGAATACTTCAAAGCTATAAGTGACATACGTCCCACGACCTCATTACGTAGCGATAACAGACCAGCGTATTATAAGATGAGTGATCTCTACTATAAGCTGGGGGAGGCAGAGGAATCACTGATGTAAGTGCTTTATCTGAAAAACTTTTAAAATCTAACTCCATGAAATGCATGATTGCATGTGTGTCGTACGGCACACCCTCATTCAGCCTTAAACACTGAAATACTGTGAAATCACTTATTTTTGGTTAATTTTCAATGTTTTCGTGATATAAAGAGACTCATAGAAAATTCATGTCTTTTCTGAAATGTTAAAATTTCAAACTTCAAATCCTATACCTTTCAACTGTTAAATTAAATCCAAATGGACAAATATTTTTTCTTCAAACCACAAAAGTAAATGATTTTAAAGTAAATTTCTTGAGGATAGATTTTTCTATGCATATATGTGTATGCTTCCTGTCCAGACACTAGTAAATATGTAGGTTTAAGTAATGAATTAAATCTTCAAATTCCTTCTCATCCTTCACAGTCAAATCCGAGAGTGTTTGAAGCTAGACCCAGATGACAAACAGTGCCAACCACACTATAAAAAGGTCAAGAAACTTGTTAAACAATTAAATGCAGCACAGGAAGCCAAAGTCGCCGGCCAATATGATGAGTGTCTGAACAAAGCAAAGCAGTTCATGAAGACTGAACCAGATGTGGAGTTCTACCAGCTAAAAGGACAATCATATCTTTGTCACTGTAATGCTAAGGTAATATTGGCAGGTACAGCCTGAAGAAAAGCAGTAGTTTGATACAGTTGAACTTCGATATCTCGAACATGGATATCTTGAATACCATGGATATGTTGAAGTAAATGGGAAGTCCTAACCACGTATTTCTTAAGTATTTTACCCTTAATACTGTATGTGTACTTAAAAAAGCAGACTTCATTTTTTAGCAGCTTTGATGCAGACAAAGGATGTGCTAATTCATGAATACCGCTGAGAAATCATTTATAAATACAATATACTGCACGGACGTGGAAAGTGCTTATTCATGATTTCGCCAACAACTCCATACCCAGTGATCGCACTAAATTTTGTATATGCCAATTTATGTACACGTACGGTATCTTGAACCCTTGAATATTTAGAAGTTTTTTCTCGATCCCATCAAGTTTGAGATAACGAGGTTTGACTGCTGTATTTATATTTAAAATATTGTTTGTTTTCTGTGTTTCTTTTTAGAGAAATCAATCACACAATAAGTTATATGTATTATATTTACTAAAAGGTCTTAATAAATAAAGATTGTGTAAAAACGTCTCATGTTGGTTAACTTCAATTGTTGATTATATAGCTGTATTTTCAAAATTCCAAATATTCGTTATACCCATATTTTCTATTTTCCAAATATTTTTTTTTTCAGAAAAATATTCAAATGAATATCCAACTATGAATTTATATGTTTGAACCATTGTAGGGTGGAAATCTTCAGGAAGCTCTAATGTTTTGTAACAGATTACTGAACAGAGAGCCAGAAAATGTCGAAGCCTTGATAGACCGAGGGGAGGCATATTTAGCCAGTGAAAAATGGGATGAAGGTACAGTATCAGCTTGACTAACAATAAAAATTATATGGTTTAAACTGTATATAGACATATATCATGCACAAATTTACATAGTCAGTAGATGTTAGCAATACAAACTACGTAGCTTTTTTTTTCTTATTCTTTGGAGAGGGCTGCATTATTGAGCTGCAGGACTCACTATCATTTTTTTTCAAAAGTTTGAAATGCAATGAAAATGAAAAAGAGGAAGTATGGAAATGTATGTTATTTTGATTTTTTTTATTTTTGGAGTAATTGTAGAATTTTTTTTATTTCAGCAATAAATGACTTCCAAAAAGCAACCAATATGGATGAACATAACCACAGGGCTCAGGAAGGACTGAATCGTGCACAGAAACTTTTAAAACAATCAAAGAAGAGGGACTATTACAAAATTTTAGGAGTTAAAAGGTTTGATATCTTTTGCATTCAGTAGCAAATGTCAATTTCAAATATGTCCAAATTTTGCTGCTAATGCATTTTGGTGGCATTTAAAGGGAAATAACTTTAATTAACCCAAACATAGGCAACATGGAGATCCTGTTATATTTTTATTAACGCTCTCTTCAAGTCAGATGATTTTTATTTTTTAGAACTGCAAGGAAAAAAGATATATTAAAAGCATACAGAAAACTGGCAGCTAAATGGCATCCTGATAAATATGAAGGAGACAATAAAGCCATGGCCGAAAAGAAATTTATAGATATTGCTGCTGCCAAAGAAGTTCTAACAGATAAAGGTTTGGCTATATTCAGAGCATCGGTTTTCATAGAATCAAAAACTCCTAGCAGATGTACATGTGTATTCATGTATACATGTAGCCTGTTTGTAATGGATAATAATCTTTTATTAAACTTGATTATTATATAGTCTATTTATAGTCCCTGCCAGGGACTCCCTGTACAGTGTTCCAGCTAGGGGGGAATGGAGGGGTGGCTTGCCTAGCCCTCAAATCTACCCCCCCCCCCCCCCCCCCCCCGTGTACCCTGTTAGCACCCTGTAACACTTTGACTGTCCTTCTTTTCCCTCATTAGAATAATAAGTGTGATCCAAAGCTGATTACTTAAGGACAATCAGCAATTCTCACCTCTTGTACATCCACGATTAAGCAACAAAACTTGCATTACAGGACATATATACTATGCAGGTGCCTGCGTCCAATATTATAGGTGATTAGGTAATTACTATGATCACTTGTTAGTCTGAATAGGAATTGAAAGCTGAAATACTTCTGAGAATATCCAAGCTATCTGTTTTAATATAGCTGAGTCTTGTCTTAAAGCGTTTTAAAAATAAATCATGAAGTGAAAGTAGCATTAACATTAACCTTTGATTCTATTTATACATTATTCACGTTCTTCTTAAAAAAAAATGAAGACATTTAGTATCTAAATACCACAGAAACAAGACTTTAGTATAAATATTCCATTATTTTGTCCTTAAATAGGGCTTATGATTTTTGACACTTTGGAAGGTATTTTAAAAGTTCACAAACATTTAACTGTGTTCCATTTAATTGACAGAAGTTTAAAACCTTTAATTAATTAATTATCTGCCTTCAACATGACCAGTGCAAGCAAGAAAGATATTGGCTTTGAATTGTAAGCTTAATACTAGTATGTCACATTTAACCTACAAATACTGTATCTATATTCATAGATTAGCCAAAAACAGATTCAGTTTGTAAACTTCTAAGTACATGTAGATCTACAAGTACACTACTGCAATAATGTGAGACACAAGCTAGCTTATAATAATTATTGAGCTATTATTGAAAATGGAATAGAAAATGATTAAAAAAAAAAAAAAAAAAGAAGAGAAAAATAACATTAATCCTATTATTTTTTAAAATTATTTCTTTTGAATAAGTTATATCTTTCAAATTAATAATGTTAAATAAATTATTAAAATTTGAAGGAGTTCATTATTTTAAGTGTAAAATAATGAGGTACGCCTATGTATCAAAAAATTGTGATGAACGTTAAGTTGCAAACAAGTGCCCTTCTCTTGCACCCGCCATTTTCAGATCCTAGCTGGAACACTGCTTTATAAGCTATATAAACACAAACAGTTTATAACACTACATATTCACTGGATTTGATGCGGCATTCACCGGAGGATCAGTGCGCGTGCAGCGGCCATTGTGACATCACAAATGATACCTGATCAAACAACATTGTAAACAATGGTTGTAATGACTAGAGCTGGCTGTGTATCTGAGCAGGAAAAACGTTAGGCAAGCCTATCACCGGGTTATTTTCCAAACAATATAATGTCATATACACAACGTAGGGAAAACACAGAAGTTATAACTTGTAATCAGGATATTTTCAGTCTTTCTATGACAGAATTTGTTGTGCAGCTTTGAATGTCTTATTTATTCAAATCCTGACTATATAATAAAACAGTTATGGACTCATTGGTGGTGAATATGGTTTGTTTCACCAGTAAAAAAATATCAATATTGATCATGGCTTCGCCTTGGTCAATATTTATATTTTTTCTGGTGAATAACAAACCATTTTCACCACCGAAAGAGTCCATAATTGTATAATGTTGGCCAAAAAGATATTAAATTACAAATATAGTCTTGTTTATAGTATATTATGTAAATCAAGGAACATTAATATTTAGGAAAGATTTATGAAATGAATATACATCAATGAATGTTTAAAAACTTAAAAGTTGATAAAAGTTGTTTTTTTTTTTTATGTGACTGTAAATTTTATTTTTATCTACTATCATGCTGTCATTTCAGAAAAGAGACAGAAGTTTGACAATGGGGAGGATCCATTGGACCCAGAGCAGCAGCAACAGGGAGGGGGACCATTCTGGCATGAAGGCTTTAACCCATTTGGAGGGGGTGGATTTAAATTTAAATTCAACTTCAATTAACGAGGTGCCTCATTTTAGGAAAAACTAGACAACTTTCTAAAAAATAATGTATTTATTGATATCAAGTTATGTGTGCTTATTTGTTAATGTGTGTGTGAGGGTGCTTTCATTTTGATGAGGATAATGTTGGATCTCACATACGGCAAATAAATCAGTTTCAGCACCTGCCTTTACACCATGAATGAATCTGTTATCATTAAGGGAAAATATCTTATCATATAGGAAAAAACTTATCTGTGATTTAATGTGAATGTTGTGTGATGAATGTTGATAATTGGGTTTATGTGCAGTGAAGTGGAAAAATGACAGATGTATGTGAATGCCTGTGTATAGTAAAGAAAATGTGTAATTATTTTGACAGTAGGTTAGAGTATTGTTTTTTTTTATACAAGGATATTCAATGTGAAAGTGTAAAACAACATATTGATGTAGTTATTGAAGTCTGCAAAGCAAAAATAGATTTGATGCAAATTTGAAAAAAAAAAATTAAATAATATTGATTACTTTATATTTTATGGGTAATTTTGTATTATTTATTTGGTTCTAAGTTATAATGTTTAAATCATTTTTAAAAAAAATCTCAAATAGTGAAATACAAATAAATGAAAAAGTATTTTATAGACTTCTATTAAATATTTGTTATAAATTTTTTTTCTTTTGAAGAAATGTATCTGAAATATATATTTGCTATTTTCAAATGTTAAAATGAATGAAAATATTTGATGAATGAAATAATAAGGATATGTTTATACATGCATAAGTATTTTCATTTTTTTTTTATATATAAGTATACATGTACATAAACAAAGTACTTGTATATAATTTTTTATTGTTAATGAAATCCAAAGATAAAACTGCAAAGGAAGCTCTACAGAACTTCAAAGTGAATGTTTGTAATAAATTGGAGTAAATGATTTTTCAGTGTCAGTGTAGATTCTACTCAGGGGGACACCAAACTTCTTGCAAACATTTTACATTTCATAATTCATGACATGCAAGCATAAGTTATTTGTCAGTCCTAAGAAAATATGTAGAGAGTAGCAGTAAATGTTCTAAATGCAGTTATCAGTATTCAGTTCTGAATATGCCTGTACATGAAAAATGAATGTCAAAGCAAGGAAAAACTGTTTTTGAGTTTTTTTTTTATTTTTTGTGTGAATTCATGTAAATTCACTTTTTTAATGGTACTTAAAATCCAATGGTAAAAAAGTGTAAAAATTATAAAAGTTCAGGAAAGAAAACAAAAGAAAAGAGAAGTGAAAAAAAGTCTTCAATTGCCAATGCGTCCAAGTGTTGGAAGTCATTGACAGATAATGTGGTGCAGTGCCTTTAGAAGGAGTACTACATTGATCACATATGGTTCATTCATCATTTCACTATATTGTCTCACAGAGACAAATTATTGTTAATGAAAAAGATGTTGAATACAAATAAAAATATAAATCCTATGATACTGCTTTCTTTCTAGGTCTCAAGACCATGCATAAACTGAGAATAAACTTAGGTCAAAATTAAGATTTTGAAAGTTGAGAGTTTTTATTTTTCAAATGTATTTAGAATGTGGTACGTTTGTAAAATATTCAGAAACAAACACGTAATGAAAATTGACATTTTATTTTCAAAATCATTTCTTAAAGTGTCCCTATTCATTCTCAGTTTATGGTTATAGAGCCAGGTCTTTCTCTTCTCTGACTTTAGAAATGCTGCCAAAAAAGTTAATGCTAATCATTGTCCTTGACCTTTTGGCCCTGGGATCAATATGTGTCACCCCTTGGGGCACAATGAGTCTTTAGCAATATAACATTGAAAGACCCAGTGATACTCTTAAAACTGTGTCCTCATCTTTGTTTACACTGGAACTGGATATTGACAGTCATATTGCATTATTAAAGAAATAACGGTGTTGTTTTAATGTGCAAGCATCATCAAATAGTGCAGATTTATCTTTTTTTCAAATCATGGTCCCGGGGATGGGGTTACAACAGGGAATCACAGTTTACATCGGAGTATATAGGAAAAAAATCAGTTTAAATCTTCATATGAACAGCAGAGTCAGTTATATTAAGCTGCAAGTCTAGATTGCAGGTCAGTTTTTCAAATATTATTATTATTATTGTGAATAGGGAGGGAGGGGGATCTTTACAAAAAAATTACTTCTGAGGAATAGCAGAACCAAGATTACTTAGGAAGGTGAGCATTGTCGCTCATTGACCATATGTACATGTATCTTCTATTGATGATAAGCGTCTTACTTTCCAGTAATTTATAATCCATGTCTTAAATTACATGTATATTCGAAATATAATGATAATAAATACACCGAGTAGAATAAGTGGGAAATTTTATCTAAGAATTTATACCACCATTAAAAGAAATGAAAGAATTTGTAGAATCTGTTAGTGCATGGATTGTATGGAAGATGAGATTCATTCACTGAGTGAGTGTCATATAGATATAATTTTTTTGAGGATATTGCTAAAAATGATAAAAAAAAATTTATAGTTTAACAATAAAAATTTCTGTGGATTATGTTTGATGAGAAAGTTATGTTGTTTATCAAGCAAGGCAAATTTTTAATCAATATTTCTAAAATTAGAAATAGTGTTTATTATCTTAAAAAGAAGCAAATAAATGTAAAAAGAGTAATAATGTTAATACTCTAGTACAAATATACATGCTAAAAATTCTTCTGTACGTATGTTAATTACATGTACATTTGTCTTATAAGCATTTAATTATAGATAATCCCCATCTGCTATAATCTTCTGTAGTTACTTTTTCTTTCTGGTCGAGATGTTGTTACTTTCAATTTTAACTATCTTCTATGTACGTTACTCTTTACTTATATGCCCTCAAGAGCCTCAAATTGGTTTCAATAAATCTTAAATGTATACCCCTGTTTGAAAACGGGGGTAGGGGTATATAGTGATGGGGGTGTACGTCCATCCGTTACATTTGGGGATAGCCGTTGTAAGGTTGAATTTTGACCCCGGTTGAAAATTGACTGGGGGGGGGGGCATTTTTCAACGTTGAATATTGAATATTGAAACCAAAGGTGTTGAATTTAGACCCTAGTCCGTTGAAAAGTGAGCCGGGTCGTGGAATTTTGTTCATGAAACCGGTTCTAAATTCAACAACATAAAAACACATATTTGTGAATTGATATTTGTTGTAATTTTTCTTTCTGCCTTTAGATGTGTGACATATATTGTGAAATACCCTGTATCTTCAATTTTAAATTTAGCGTAAAATCGCAATATTTCATGTAATATTTATTTTAAAAAAATATATCTAAATCTAGAATATATAGTTACACAATATACAATTTAGTTCAGAAATATGTTTATTTTATTTGCTATAGGCTAACAACACTGCATTTATTTTAATACAATATGAGTACTTGGGATATTGTGGACGTTTACGCATGAAGCACGTACATTTTTATTCATATTCAGTCATGACAATATTAATAACTACATGTATGTCCATCTTGAAAACATGATTTTTAAAATAAAAGCTTAGTGATTTTTTTTCGAGTAGTTAATCAAACAGTTCAACAACGAACCCCACAATACCTACTTATTTTGTTGAGTAGAGGATCGAAGGGGGGGGGATAAGTACCATCCAAGGTAACACAGATCCCTTGTAAATTTTTAAGATTATGCATATATATGAAGAATTTTTTTTTGTATTTGTGACTTTGTTGTTTTGCTCAAGTATTGTATTGTATAGTTTTATTTCGTTTTGGATTTTTAGGGGGGGGGGGGGTAATCAAAAAATGTCTGGCTTAGACACACAAAACCTGACTTTCAGCTTTATTTAATTTTTTTTAACAAAGTAGCCAAAGATATACCCCCCCCCCCAACCACCACCGGGGAAACACAGGATTATATGTGAGGAGTTTCTGAAGCGGCCCTTCCATCCTCAAGAAACATGGTTTGGTTTTTCAACATTGGTTGTTTCCCCTTTTTTATTTGCTTGGTTGTTTGTTTGTTTCATTTATTTATTTTGTTTATGGTTTTTTGTCACAATATTTCAGAGGGTTTTGACACCACAGCCCAGCCTCCGAGAAAAACTCCAGGATCCGTCTTTCTCTCTCTTTCTCTCTCTCTCTCTCACCGGTTTCTTTGAAGAGAAATGCGCTTTTTAGTTGTTTTGATAAAAGAAGTTGCATTAACTGCGTTGTTTTAATTGTTGTTATCAAAGATGGTGAGAAATGCAGCTTCTAGTCCATCTCAGACTCTAGCTCTAGTTCTACAGGGAGATCAAAGAAGGACAGTTCTTGACTGCTGCATAAAACCCAGTCTGTCACTTTGCTCGAAGCAACGATGGAGAGTAGACGCATCTTACAGATAAAAAATTATTTGACCAAAGAAATTTATCCAAAAGTAGTGAAAAAGTCCGAGACAAGAAAAAGAAATTTCAGAAGAGATTCAAGAAGTTCCTAGTGAAAGACGGTAACCTTTTCCGTAGATTTAAAAACAAAGACCTTAGAGTTGTGTCCGAAAATGAAAAGACGGACATTCTCAAAAGTATACATGTTCAAGTACATGGAGATCACCTTGGAATCAACAAGACGTAAGTATTTAGCAAAACCACAATCGCCCTTGAAGAATGCTCTAACCTAAAAGACCTTTTTCTACACACACCACAGGTATTGGGGTGGGGGGTGAAACCCCCCATTTTCATTTTTTTCTTTTAAAAACTTGGATCGACACACCTTTTTTCCCTATTTTTATATTCTAATATGCACTACATGTAATTGATAATGTACCCTTTTATCCCTTTAAGCTGTTTTTTAAAATATATCGTTTTCGACTGAAACATAACAAGAGGCCCTGGGCCAGATCGCTCACCTGAGCAATTTGGCTAGGAAATAGCAGGAATCAGTTCAGTATTGAAAAGTTTAAATATAAAAGTGGTTCAGATGGGGTATTATGATTTGAAAAAAAACTTGAATCTACACTACCTAAGGATGCTTTGGAATTAATATGACACATAATGACTTTGCTGTTCTTAAGAAGATTTCTTTTATTGATATATCCTTTATATTCCTTTGTATAACTCTGATTCCCTGTTATGGCCCCTCTATACTCCTATAGGGTTCATGAATTGAACAAATTTGAATCTATATTACCTGAGGATGCTTTTATATTACTATGATCAATCATGACTTTGCTGTTCTTGAGAAGAATTTCAAAGATTTTTCTTATGTATTCTTATGTAAAACTTTAATGGCCCACTGTGGCCCCACCCTACATCCGAGGGTCATGATTAGAACAAACTTGAATCTACACTACCTCACGATGATTCCATTTAAGTTTCATATTTTCTAGCACAGTGATTCTTGAGAAAAAGATTTTTAAATGATGCCATTAATATTTCACAAATTCGTAATTATCTCTCTTTGGAAGAATGCGTGGCCCTTCATTTGAACAATTTGAATCCTCTTTACCCAAGAAAACTTTGTGGCAAATTTGGTTGAAATTAGTCCAGTGCATAGGCGTCGGAACCGGGGGGGGGGGGGGGGGCTAGTGGGGCTTAACCCCCCCACTTTTTTTATAAAGATAGACATAATATAGGCATTGAAA